GTGGCGCTGATTCCGTATATGAAATCAGTTTTTGGAAAAAAAAAATCTTCTGCCCTTGGTACCAAATTGAAGTTTGAAAAATTGCCAACTTTGAAGCTGATTTTAACTATGAAGACAATGATAAATTTGTATTTTTTTTGGTTTGGTATAAAGATTGTACTTTAGTCTATACAAAGCATTAATTAAAATTTTTAATTTCATTCATTAAGTGCCTTAAAATTGCATTTGAAAGTCACGATTTTGGCCAATTTTGGCTGCTCCTGATAGACTGTCTTTTTATCGGAAAAATAATAAGATTTTTAAATTACACCAAAGTAGATTTGGTTTACTGCTAACCAGGCGTAAATATGAATTTATTAAAAATTATCCTCCTACTTTTTCTTATCTTTATATATATATATATATATATATATATATACACACGCGTATATATATATATGCGTGTATATATATATATATATATATATATGCGTATATATATTTATATATATATATATATATATATATATATATATATTATGTCGATTTTTGTAATACTGATACTCAATAAATTTAATTCTATCTATATGTCTTATTTATTTACACAGTGTGAAAAATTATTGGCTCCAAATATTTTTTTCAGTCAAATGGGGTTCGAACTGGCAAACTTGGAATTGATATTCTGGCCTAAACCGTATCTTTACGACCTCAGCCATTCGCACAATTGGCATACAACATTTTTAGGAAACTTATATCTTTCATAACCAAAATAAGACTTTATATTTTTACAAATAGAGTGCGGTTTTGTAAAACCAATTGGCCGAGATCGTTAAGTGACCACTACGGTTGCTTAGCGTGTCTCGGTTCGATTCCAGAAGAGGCACAAAAAATCGAATGTATAGTTTTTCATAATTATCAAATATTAGTTCAAAATATTAAATTCAGGTGTCGCATTTCGACCTTGACACTTAGTAAATTTCTGAAAAACAAATAACTCAAGTTTCGCACTTGACTGTAAGAGAGATACATAAAGAGAGAAAAAAAAAAAAAAGGTAGAGGAAATAACTGGGGAAAGAGAGGGGTAGAGGCAGATGATGAATAAGAGAGATGTGTATGATACATATTCTTTATTAAAATTCAATATTAATACAATATGAGAATGAAAATAACTTTTATCATCAATAACTTAAATAGCCGAGTGGTTTAAGGACCGCATACTCGGTGAAATAACTCTGGAGGCACAAGGTGAGCAGGATCGAGTCCAGCAGAAGGCGACGACGAGCAACTCTGAAGCAGAAAAAATGGAGCAGTGCTGGTGACTGGCTGTTGGCGAGCGCAAAGGGTCCTGAAACAAACACACGAAGTGATGGTCAACCTGAGGTCCATGATGCGAGAGGTTACACGCAGAGAGACACATTTCGAAAGATGCATGCCGAGCCCAAAAATCTACCCAAAAAACACAACATGCGAAAAAAAACAACACCAAAAAAGGAAAAAAAATGTGAAAAAAGCGGAAAAAAAAGGAAAAAGAAGGAGGAGGAGGAGGAAGGGGAGGGGGAGAACCAAAAAAAAACCCCCTAAGTCCCAGATCAATTTTTCTCTTTTCTGTTCAGCGTTGAAACTTTTTTATGTTTTTTAGTGTTCCCTCACACCAATTCCCAAAACCAACACTCGAATGAAATGAAGTCCACGTTGAAATTTTCACAACGAGAAAAAATTACTGGGACTTAGTTACAATATTTAACTTTGCCCCAATAAAATTTTCTCGTGAAATATTCAATGTGAGCCTCATTCATTTGAATGTTGGCTTTGGGATAATACTGCATGCATAAATAACTCGTCTGTCTTAATTGAAAAGGTTTCAGAAAATTTGGACTTAGAAAAAAAAAAATTATCTGAAAGGACTTAGAAAAAAAAATTATTCGAAAGAATTATAATCAGAAAATTTGGACTTAAAAAAAAAAAATCTAAAAGGACTTAGAAAAAAAAAATTATTCGAAAGAATTATAATCAGAAAATTTGGACTTGGAAAAAAAAAATCTAAAAGGACTTAGAAAAAAAAATTATTCGAGAGAATTATTTAATTAATCGATGAAATGAAATGATATTAATCGAATCAAAATTGTTTATACGACTTGATAAAACATGTGAAACCTTTACAATTAATCGAGACAAAAACAAATGCAGTTGACTTGAATAATATACAAATTATTGGAAAAAGCAATAAAAGAAATACAACAAAACTTGTAAAATGGAATATTGAAAAATGTTTAAAAACTTTAACATTAAAAACTTCAAAAATGTTTAAAGTTGATTGTTATCCTTTAGAAATTGAGTTAAATAATGTTTAGAACTTGTATCGAATAATAAACTTGTAAACAAAATTATGTTGAGTCTAATCATTCAAGTCAACTCTTCGAAACATTGATTGCATGTCCTGATCAAAATTGTTTTTAGCAATAAATAAAAAAAAAATATAATTTAGCTATGCAGCAATATAATTGAATAAATTTAAAATAAAATTATAATGACAGACTTTTATAAGCTGCATTTAATTGACAACTAGGAAAGTCATATTGAGTATTTTAAACATTTTGATCAATACCAGCAATCGTATTATCATTAATAAGAATGTACATGCAGACAATGTCGCTACAGGGAAAACACATGATTCTTGATGCTAGAGATGTAATTCTAAAATTCTTTACCATAGTAAAGCAAACAACATACACAAGGTGTTGTGAAATAAACCATTTTGTAAAAAAAAAGTTCACCTTAACAAATAGCATTGAAGTGAAGCTATCCAAAGCCAAGAAAAATCACCTCATATTCTTATTTATAGAACAAAAAAATATTCTGATTAACTATTTATGGAGCTATAATAAAAAAACAATTTAAATTCAATGCCTTATAAGAGTATCATAAGTATTCTCACTTGTTTAAATAAATAAAAGCTTGTTTAAGTTTAAACAATGATACAAGATGTTTTCCCCATAACAAACTTTTGCACATACGTCTGCCAAATTAATTTATAATCTCAAGTTCATGTAATTCTTGTGTAATATATGTAGGATGACTTGCATTACTAGAATTTGTAAAACAATATTAATATAGTAAAGATTATCAAAACATTTTTTCGACAGATATATGTGCATAAAATACTAATAATCAACGAGTCAGCAAATATTTCACTAAAATACATACAGACACTGCTTAGATTTAAATAATATCTTACTCGTTCAATATATATACATAAAGAATATATCTGAAATGTTATTTCCTCAATAAGAAATATTTAAAATAATAAATAATAAGTTGAAAAATTATGTAGTTTAGTTGAATGATACATACTTCTCAAAATGTCTACTAAGTAAATTTTTATTAATAACTAACTGACCCGGCAAACGTTGTTTTGCTAAGTATGGTGACAATTTCTAACTAAACAATTTCTATAGAATCAAAAATATTAATACTTTAAGTATTAATTAAGTATTATGTGTTGTTTGAATGCTATGTACAATGAAGTATTATAAAAACAATAAATACCATTAGTTTGTCTATATTTTGTCAATACAATCAAACTGGAAGTTTTATACACTTTCTATAAAAATCATTGTATAATCCAATCCCAGTCTTTTTTTGGCATTTCGACTTATTGATTACGTTTTAAACTTTTCAGATTCTTTTTGGATTCTGGATTTTGTATATAATTGTAAATAACACTACTGAGCTTATACAAATTTTTAAAATTTCTGCGAGGAGAGATAGAAAATGAATTAAATATATCTGCTTGGACCTGCTTTTTGAAAAGTTTCAAGTAACATACCATGAATGAATTAATTTTGAATTGGAATGAGAAACGGGACAAAAAGTATCACATATGTTTCTCCTGGTTCTAAACTACCGCTCTGCCAATTTTCTTCTAAATCGGTTCAGCCGTTCGTAAGTTATAAGTGTTCTAACTTAAGCGATCCTCTTTTATATATATAGATTAAGTATTAAATATAGTAAAAACATTAAATGCTAAATGATGAATGCCTGTATATAATCCTAGAAATATATTCTTTGACTCGTTTTGTATAAAACATGCTTTGCACTCACATTGTTGGAAATCCTCTGCAGCATCCTGCCGGAACACAAAACCAGTTCTTGAATCACCTCTGGAGCATCTGCCAGGAACCTCAAGTATTCGACACAATATTACCACTTCCAAAGCACTATACTTAACATTGTCTTTTACAAATCTATTTGACATGATGCAATTGTCCGAGTAAGGTCTTTGCACAACATACAATGCACGACACACATAAAAGACTTTTGTGAACTTAAAATTCGATAATAAATTGATTTGAGGTGGAAATGTTCAAGCATTACCTACATACATATATTAGTTAAACAATTGACAATTGCATATATATATATATATATATATATAAATAAATAAAGGATACATTGCCTGTAAGAAAAATGTTTAATTATAAATATAAAATTAATTCGAAATGGGGACCCTGAAAGAGATACTTTTGACTATCCAAAGTACACCTAAACATTTCCACACATTTGGATTTTTATGAACATTTCGCGATGAATTTGTTATATCAGATTGTTCTAATAAATTAATTACACAATTAGATGCACAAATTAATTGAATCTAATCAAGGATTTAATTAAAAACTCTTAATTAAGCCGAGCACATGTTTATTCACAAATATCTTTTTGACAATTAAAGTTAGCAAAATGTCCGACGACGCCACTTGTACAATTAAAAGCGCGAATTTCAAACAAAAAAAATAATCTTTGCGAATTCATTTACACATCAAAATTTGATTAGATTTGCTTCAAAATATAAAATTCATTAGTTAAAATTGTTTTATAAAATGATTTTAGCTTAGAGATAATTATTTGATTTATAATAATTGAAATTGCTATGAAACTACTATGAAACATTTTCCCTGTTTTGTTTACATCAGCAGCCACCAAATGTCAGTTCGATTCAAGCAAATATTATTTATGAAACTTAATATAATCATTAGTACTATTTAATTAATGACTTACATGATTCGTTGTTATGTATTATAACAGGTTAAAATAATAAAAAGGTTTTTAAAAAAATAATTTCAAGCAAAAATGTTCAAGAAATTTTAACCTAACTTAGTCATGGATAGGTACAATTGATATAAGATAACATATATATATATATATATGTTAATATACTGATATATATGAAATATATTATCTTCTAGCGATAGACAAGATTTATCTGCCTTTGTCAAAAATGTGCACAAAACTTTAAGACTCCAATCGTCAAAACTAGGTGCTGACAAAGCCTGGATTGACCATTGCCTCAATGAAACTACTTTAAAAAAATATGCAGAATCCATGCAAACTTTAGCAACCTTACATTGGGACAATAAAGACTCCAAAGAACTTTCTGCAAATTCAAGAAATGCTTGGATTGTTAAACATTGTCAACAGTATTTTTTTGAGAATGGTATTGAAAACCAACGAACAAGAGAGTATAAAATAATAGAATTGTTAAATATGGGTAATAAAAATTATGATGAGCTAAATCTAAATGGTATTATTAGAATGTTGGATGTCGGTAGTTGTTATAATCCTTTTAAGGATTATGATATGTTTGATGTTGTAGCAGTAGATATAGCTCCAGCTAATGCCAGTGTGTACAAGTGTGATTTCATTTGCCAAGACGAGTACATTGTTGACAATGCTGTTTGTAAATTAAACAACAATTCATTTCACACTGTAGTATTCAGTTTACTTCTAGACTACCTACCTTCATCAGAATTACGATTGAAGTGTTGTCAAAAAGCATATGATTTACTAAAAATTGAAGGCATAATGATAATTATATTACCAGATTCAAAACACGTGGGTGCCAATGCTAAATTTATGAAGTGCTGGCGATATACACTGTCCACATTAGGATTTTCTCGAATCAAATATGAAAAGTTGACACATATTCATTGTATGGTTTTTAGAAAAAGTTTGAGTCCTAAAGTGCCACAAAGATGGGCTGAGATTCATAAATATGATGAATTTGATGGTAAGTTGTGTTTACCACAGGATTTTAAATGTGGAAGAGAAATTGAAGATTGTGTGCAGATTTCACCAAAGCCTGAAGATGTTTTAAGTCTGTTTCAAGAACTGCCATATACTTAAAACGCATTCGTTCAAAATTATTGCTGATTATATTTGTAAATTATACAAATGATAAATTCATGTTGTATTCTTACTATTTTATTGTAATTTTATAGAAAAAATGTGTACATAAACAAATATGAATTGTACATATTTTATTAAACATTGTACATTTATATTTTGAATCGTTTTGATAATACATATAATGCAACAAAGTTTAAATCAATGTAGTTGTTTAAACCGTCTTGCAAAATATATCAATTATCATATATTTATGCACACTAATGTTATAATAAATCATAAAAATCATTTTTCACAAGATTATTTGATTATGTAAATATAAAATAAATGTACAACTTGGACAACATGTTGTAGAATTTAGTCAAATATCATATTTCGATTTGGCAGTGCTGATAGATATATCGGTTTGTAATTATTATAAACTTGCAACTACAATGATGGATAAGTTTTGATTAGTTTTCATAAAACATTAACATTAAATTCAATATTATCCATTATATCTAAATTTCAACTCATCTAAATCTACAGTCCATATCATGAATCAAATCTTTATTCATGATGTGGATATCAGTAGTAACATTTATCATAATTTTAACTATATACTATTTATTATGTTTATGGTAAAAACAATCACACTTCGATCATATTTAAAGACTCTGAGACACAACAAACGCACAAACACAAATACACTTCGAGGAATAAAGTTTGTTACTAAAATGTTGTTCTAATTTAAAAACTAATAACACAAAATGACTATTATACTTCTGTAAAATAGAAATCAAGTTTTAAACAATTTTTAAAATACATAAACATAATTTAAGAGAATTATAAATTTGAATATGCTTTGAATCGTACTACCCATACTAGCACAAGATTTTAGTGAACTATATATATGTATGTATAATTGTATATATATATATATATATATATATATATATATATATATAATACTATGCCCAACACACCATATATAGTACAATTAAAAACTGCAATTTATATTATTACCTTTAAACATTTCCTCTGTTGCAGGTTAATACCATACCTAGTTACTGTAGAGTATTAGGGTGCTAGACTGTGCCATAGATTATTTAATAATGCACAAATATTTAGAAGATTTCACTCAAATTGGCAAACGGTTCAAAAGCAATAAAAGATATAGTAAATAATTTCATTAGCTATAAATAGTATATCTAATATGGTTGCAAATGTTTTGAAGTCGAATGATAAAAATGTCAACGATGGGCTAATAAATATTGTTTAAGGTTTTTTTTTTTAAATTTCTAAGCTGCCTCAGGACAAACAGGACAACATTCGTCCTCTTTAACCTGCAACGGTTCCGTACAGGATAATTTAGGACATTTTGTCGTCGTGCAAGTGATCTGATGTTGATTGCAGGTGCATTGTGTGCAGCTATTTTTATTCCATAATTCATTGTTGATTCTCCAGTTTCCATCGGAATCTATGCAATGCCCATGTTTTGGCAGCTTTTGGGCGCACTCTTGTTCCAATTTCCTGATCTTTCGACGCATTTGCTTTAAAGTCTTCTGAAAATTCTCGATTATAGACTCAATGCCTTCAATACGTTCTTCGTTCAATTCGTTTTCAAAACTATCAATGTCGATGTCTCGAACTGTAGTCGTGTTGGAATGATCGACATTTCGCCTTGGACGTCTGAGATTCCGTCTTCTCAAATTTGGATTAGATGTTCTTGTGCCAAATTGACGATCATGCACAGAACACTCCTCGCAATCCGTCCAAACCTTTAAGTTGACCTCAGGTAAAATCTTGCAATCGACGTAGCCACCTTCTTGGTGCTCTGGTAAAACAAAAACATCCTTCGTCACTTTGGTGATATTATCACCGTTATCACATAAAACTCGCCCCAAGCTCGCTTGCTTGATCTGTGTCAATTGCTCAGGTTTAAAAGTACTCGGATTCTCATACCAAAATCTATCACCATCCCGCAATCTCCTGAATTGATCAACAAGCAAGCATCTGAATAATGGACCAATTCTTGCACCTTTCGCCTGATCTTCTAAAATACCACCAACAAAAACATCCACATTATCGGGATGTCCATACAATTTCTCTAACTTCTGTCTGACCTCACTGCTGCTGATCTCGCCAGCCAGATCATCAAAAGTCCTGGCAACTGTCATATTGCAAAAAGCCCTCCAAGCATTGTAACCAGGAATGGCATGATCCCTGGCACGTTGAATGTTTATTGCTGCCAAATCCAAGGCGACAGCATGAGCAGATTTGAACAGACGTTCCGTCAAATCACTATTCAAATTTTCCTTAGACGTTTTCAGTTTTGCCGGAACTGTAAACAAACCACGGAGCAAGGGATCTACACCACCTTCGTCCACAACTCTCCATGGAGCAAAAAAGGCTTTGTGCAGGGGTAGGTGGCCATCTTGAATGGCCTCGAAGGATTCGTTCAGACGGTGCAGAATTGGATTGATTAGGGTGTGGCCAAACCGTAAAGCAGCAGTTGCAAAGACATTGGCTATAGATGGATTCACCTGTGGGTCATAGCCTTCGTATTTGCCGAGTAGTCGCATGCCTTCTTCACCAAGAATATGTGGCAGCCAGAATCTAAAGTAAAAATGAGTTATTATCATTCTATAAATAAAATCAGGAAATTATTACTGGAGTCTCACTTATAGGTGATGTGCTGCATCTCTGCTCCGACTATTTTTCTGGTCTCCTGAAAAATGGTATCTCCGTCCCAGTGAGAATTTAACAATTTCAGCTCAGTGGCAATTCTGTTATGTTCTCGCATCCATACTGTATGCATAGCCAAAAGGCCAACCTGGTAAATGGATAAATTCTAAATTCATTCAAGAAAGGTAATTGACAAGAGAGTAAAAACAACCTGTTCGTTAGCTCTGATATCCCCTGCAACAAAACAGTTGACATCGCTCTCTAGTAGATTGCGCCTGCAATCTACTCCTTCATCTCCACCAGAAAATGGCAATAGTGCCCGACGTCCCGGTTGGATCAGACCTTCTCTTAAAAGACCACGGTCACTGGTCAAATTTCTTAACTGTTGAGCCAATTCATCGGAGAAACCATAAACCTAAAAATATATGAACTATAATAATGAACATATTTGTAGAATTAAAAATATGTTTTACCTGTGAGGCATCAATAAAAGAAGTAAGTTGATTTATTTGTTCACGATGTTGTACACCGTTAAAGAAGACTGAAGTTGCTCCAGAACCACAAATGGCGCTCGAACGTGTAAAGTCAATACACCTACAAGCCAACAAATTTTTATACTGGATTTACTAGAACTAGAACACCATCAATCCAATTACCTTCTATTTGTAATCCTAGGATCATCAGCTGGTACTTCAATAGGGTAGCAAGGTGGTGCAAAATCGCACGTTTTCTTACAGTCGACGCCGTCCCAACTCTCTGAACTCACAGAAGGAATGGCATGATCCAGATCATGATCCAAAAACTGACCCCATTGCATCACCATATGCGTGATCTCGTGATCGGATGTGATGACATCCGTAGAAATCAAAGCTGTTGATAACTGCCTTGCACCTGGCAACTTGTGACCACCTGATAGAATAAGCAGTTAAGTTCAAAGTTTGTGTTTGAAGTATCTATGAAACCAACCTGCATATGTCATATTTTTGGTCCAACCAAAGGGTGTGCTGAACCCATTTTCATATATGGCTGGCAAAGAACGTCTGAAACCTGTCAAAGATGCTCCCCACATTGGATGTGCTAGATTATTGCAGGAGCCGTCGATGGTGCGATATCTGGAATAATGTAATTGATGAAAAACCTTGGATACTTGATCAAAATTCTCAATAGATAGTTACTTGGAGTGGAAGCACATATCGGTGCAGTTGCTGGTCCTGCGATGTGCCAAACAACCTGATAACTCAGCAACCAGTTCCAAATGTTCAGGTGACAGAATTTCCTCGTATTTGAAACTTGGACTATCAGACGAATTTGCCATGGTTGACATGTTGATGGATTTACCTTCGGAAACATGCTTTGCAATGTTTTCCAATGTTCGTTCGTATACCTCAGCAGCTCTTGCCAGTTCTCTAGATGGCGCGTCCGGAAATCGAATCAATCTGAACAAATCTGCCGGTCCTGGGGGCGGTTTGCTTTGATCTCTAGGCCTAATGGAGATATAAAAAATCCTCGATAAAATAATACCAAAGTCTTGTGAAAAATTAAGATTAATCAGTATCAAAATTCTACTGTTAAAATATTATTTACCCGTTTCCAAAAAGTGCAGCAACAGTCTGATTAACAGCTTGATCGACTTGTCTACTGGCTTCAGCAAAGGCGATCCTCACAAATCTATCACCCGGAGCAATATTTGTCTCATCTCTAACAGTCACCACACCAGCCTGGCTTGTCCTACCAGCCTCGTTAGTAGCAAAACATTCATATCTGGTAATAGGATTGATTACGCTCACAACTAATTAAATGTATGATAATTCGTTACCTTCCGGCGTCTTGGACAGTGACGTTGGCTATATACAAGCTACCTGCTGGTGCAAATCTGTATCGGGTGCTTGGCGGCACCGTAGCTTCATTCCTGCGCCACTGGATGGATGGACGTGGCTCACCTTCAGCCTTGCATGGCAGTTCGAGACTGCTTCCAGGAAATACTTCCATATCGAAAGGACCAAATAGTAATTTTGGAGGAATTGCTGGATTTGTTTGATAAGCAACCTAGAAAACAAAATTCAATTTTATATCAGGGTAAGCATAATTATAAATCCATTTTTCTCACTGTCAATATCGCCTGGGCTTCTGCTGTTCCTTCATTATTTACAGCCTGACACGAAACAATACCAGAATCTGATTCTTTGGCGTGGTCAACGTGCAACCTAACCAAAAAGTTCACAATAAACTTATTTAAATTTCAACAGAGACAATAAAATTTAACAAACCTTGTATTTGTATCACCAAAGTAAATCCTAGCAGAAGGAGCCAAAGGCCTTTCATCTTTGTACCACGTAATCCTTGGTAAAGGATTGCCTGAAGCAACGCAACTGAACAGAGCGTGTCCTCCTGGTTTTACAGTTGTATTTTGGGGAAAAGCAATTATTCTCGGAGGCTCTGTAACTTGGAGATCAGCCACAGTGGATATCTTTCCTAGAAGATTTGAAGCTTCGCACCTGTAACTTCCAGAATCGGATTCGCCTAAAGGCCCCTTGATGGTTAAAGACCCGTTATCGTTGATAAATCGTTTCGAATCACTACAAAGAAAAAACAAAATTAAAATAAAATCTTAAATTCCATTTAATATCTTTATAATTTTTCAGAAAACATTACTTTTCCACATAGACATTATTATGCGTCCATTTGATTTCCGGTGATGGTGTCCCGGAAGCAACGCAGTTGAAGACAACCTGCTTCGCAGTGGATGACACGGTTCGGCTGATCGGCGCGGAAATAAAACGTGGACGTACATTTGCTAAAAAAGAACAATAGATAATGAGGTATAAAAATGATAAATGCATAAGACTCCTTTAAATTATATTGATCTACAAACCAGTAATGGTGGCGGTCCTGACCAATCTCGCTGGTCTACTTTTAACCTCCCCGACTGTACTTTTGGCCATACATTCGTATTCTCCCGCATCAGTTTCGCTTGGAGAATCAATTATCAGAGAACCATCAGCAAGGAGACGGTATCTAAAAAAATATACAAAAATTATACTAGGTCAAAATCTAAAAAAAGTATTTAGTATGGCACCTAGGGTTATTATCCAATGGAATTTCATTGGAGTCTTTCATCCACACAATTTTTGGTTTCGGGTCACCACTTGCGCGGCATGTGAAAACAGCTGATCCTCCAAAGGTCACTTCTACATCTCTTGGACCTTCCATAATTTCTGGCCTTCCTGTTTATAAACATGAACACTAAAATATTATGGATTGTAAATATATTCTACGAATAACTTCAATTCGAAACCCCTGATTACTCCATTAAATAATTTTATATAATATTCCATCTTCATTCCATTCTCATTTATTTCTTCTCGAATACGAGAAAGAACTCAATTTTCAGACCGAATCTTTTTACGTGAAAGTGCAGAGAAAAAAACGCAGAGAGAAAAGAAAAATGAATGAGAAGAGAAAACAAAACAGAAATGAATTTTCTATTCCGGTCGCAGTTTATAAAAAGTTTCGCATTTTTCATTTTCCATCAGACGCATAAATGATAGATGAGAGTTTTACCAAATAAAAAACAATTTTTGTCTTAATAAGTAATGATTTATTTATTTATTTTCATAATTTAAATTTTTAATGAATTTTATATTTTGTATTTTATAAATTAAGCTTATTTTTTGTCTTAAAGAGTTTTTGAAATATTAAAAATACTCATTAACTTCCCGTAGGGTAAGTTATAGTAATCGCAAAAAAATCGAAAATGAAAATTTTTATATATCTTTACGTTTCAGAGGTTTCTGAACATTTTGGCATACCTTAGAAAAAATGGATGTATGTGTGTGTGTGTGTGTGTGTATGTGTGTGTGTATGTATGTATGTGTGTGTATGTATGTGCGGATACAAATTTTCGTCGACGATTTCGGGAACACGGATCAACCGATTTGAATAATTCAAAAAACATTCGATTCGTATTGATAAGAAGACGTGCTGATTAGTTTTTGGCGAAGGCAGGTCTAGCCGTTCCGGAGATACGGGGCAAAAAGTGCCGAAAACGGTAACTCAGTTTTTAAGCGAACGGAGCGTCCGATTTTAATAATTCAAAAAACATTCAACTTGTATTGACAAGATAAAGAATTGATCAAATTTTCATAAAGGCAGGTCTAGCGGTTTCGGAGATCTAACGAAAAAAGTAAAAAAAAATGCCATTTGGCGGTCAAAAATGATCATTAGACATATGCACATCAAATTTTCAGATATTTTATAGAGATTTTAACAATAAGTATAAATTTTGTTTATTTTCCTATGGGTTCCGTACCAATGTTTACCCGTTAGACAGCGACGCCGCGCTTACGCGCTTTATATTTTGTCTCTATGCAGTTAAAGCAGTACGATTGCTTTGAAAAACAAGTTCAGATCTTCCAAAATATGTCAAAATAAAGAAAACATTTTTTTTTTCAAAAAAAAAAATTTTTAAAAAAATTTTTTAAAAAAAAAATTAAAAAAAAAAAAATTTTTTTTTCAAGAAAAAGTAATTTTTTGTCCAATTTATAGTTTTTCAAAAATCCTATTTTTTCGAAGTAAATTTTTTTCAAAAATGTTAATCGTTTTTAAAAAAAATAATAATTTTTGGTACGGGAAGTTCCAGCAATTTGCCTTAAGGCACGATGCCCTAATTGCCTTAAGACAGAATTCCACTTACAGCTAGTTATTAATTAATTTTAATTATAAACATTCATGCATCATTTACTGCAGCTCTGCCAAAATAATTGAAAAATATTATATAGCGTCCATAAATATTTATAAAAATACCCGTCAGGGTCTAACTACGAGTCTGGCAATGAATTTTAATACTTAAATATTTGTTTATTTCATTATTTAAACTTACGACAATGGAAATCGTCAACCGTCATAGTGTTGATTTGGCGTCCAGCCATGGTTTCGGGTGCGTTGCAAGTTGCGGCCGCTTGCAAACCCTGAAAAATATATATAGGTGTATATATTAGGGTGGTCCTTAATATGAACATTTTCGAATTTCCTTGCTCCCAAGGGCTCAAATGGTTAGGGCCAAGGGCTTCCAAATTGATAAAAATAATACTCCGAAAGTTTTTGCTCTTAATATTGCCTTTTAGATAGAGCGCAATTCAATCAAGGATTTGTATGTATTTGTATATATATATATATATATAATATAAATAATATTCATCCTTGCACCGTTTTGCCTCACCTTTTTACCATCGTGAACCATTTTCACCAACCACAACATATCGCAATCGCAAACCAGAGCGTTGCTGTCCAGCCTGAGCCTCCGAAGCCCCGAAAGTCCATGGAAAGCTCCGGAGGGCAACCTTTGGATTTTGTTGTTGTGCAGGAACCTTAACAGAAAAAGATTGAAAATTTTAAACTTGATAGATAGAAAGGTTTATATTATATACTTACTATATGTACATGTTAGTTAATTACATATATTTTGTACATTTTTATATACAGATTACTAAAATACCCTTGTAATTTAGTAGAGATTTATAATTTATATAAAGTTTGTTAGAAAACTTTAATAACTACAAGTATCTACATAACCAATAAGCCAATATGTACAGAGTGTCCTCTTATTTGCATCCCAAAGAAATTGTTACAAATAGTGTTACCTTAAACCTCTAATACATTTTTGTAGTTTTTCATCAATTTCGCAAATTTCAAATCAAAATATTAAATTACTTCATTATCACATTAAAGTGATTAAAGTTTTGTATATTTTCCATATTTACAACTATATATGTATTAAGAAAAATTGTTAAAAAAAATTGCTTTCAAACCATGAGATGACAAGAATGCAAATTTTACTCATGTATAACATTTTTTGCTGTTGATTAATTTTACATAAAATTTATACACGACTTTAAAATCTGTTGATGCCATTTTCAAATAGCCGAAATTATTTATATGATTGTTCCTTGATTTTATACATGAATGCAAGACAGTATTTAAGCATTTTTGCCTACTTTTACAAAGTTTTTATTCAACACGTTAACATTTCTTGATAGAATATTAAAATGAATAAAATTTTCTGCAAACCTGCAGCATGTCTATTTATAGATAGTGCCTTAAAGTTTTTTCTAAACTCTAGCCTTGTACTTAAAATAGTATCAATAAGAATAAGCAAATCATTGCACTATTTTTTTTATTTATATCTTTTTCCAATATTTTATTGAATATGTTAAAATCGATTTAGGTTATATAAAATTAACTGTATTTCTGCATTTTTATTTAATTAAATAAATATATATCATAGGATCAAATAATATAAAGTAATTCGATATACTTGTTTAACTTTAGGAAAATATTGCAAATGTTTTATTCAGCATAATAAGATCTATTTGCACATAAAAAGATACATTTATCTATATTTCTGTATATCTATAATTAAATATACTTATCTGAAATGCCTTGAAAAATTACTTCGAAAACGCAGATCGGATTAGAAATAACAAAACATGCCTTTTTTTTAATTTATGGAAAATGTGGCATATGAAAATGGATAAAATTATCTGAAATTCTACATGTATAAAATTTCACCCACTCAAACAAAACTTTCTTAAAAATTAGTTCTCAATAGTGTTGAATATAATTCAACACTGTTACACTACATTTTAAACTTACAACAAACTTCAAAAAATAATTGAACCACAGATAAAACTATCTTGATCTATAGCTGTAGAAATAGTTAAAAGCTCCGGTTGCAGAGCTTTTTCCTCTCCTCGACTTATCTTAACTCATCCGAAAAGTTCCAATTAGCGTTATCTCTTCTACAGGTGCACGGGAGCTTAAAAAGCTCAGCTTAGTTCCTAATTGGCAACTTGCAAAAAGATAAAGGACACGAGGATAAAATAATAAAAAGACAAACGATCAAGAATACATGATAGACCCGCTGTACTATTTGCAGTACGACGCAAATAACAAGAGGATTTTGTGTATTTAATTATTAAAAATTAACTTTAAACCATTTTCCATGAATATGAATGATGTGCAAGAAAAACTATATAATAATTCAATGAGCTATGCAGAACGCCTCGTACGTACATTGTAAACAAAGTATGTATAATATACTACAAAGTGATTGCTATATTAACAAATACTAAAATTAACAAGTTTCCTAACAAAATTTCGAGTTATAAGAGTTACTAAAATTTGATCTACGTACATAAGAAGATATAGAAATATATATTTAATAAGCACTTCAGGACGCACCATATTTACTAAAGTTTTGTGATTTAAGTTTGTCATTCTCAATGTGTCTATTAACCCCCTCATTATACATTTCTTCATCCTCAAATAATATTTAATCAACCTCTCAGTTCCTCATGTAATCTACATAACGCTTATTAATATTAATGAAATAACATAAAACGTGGTTTCTCAAGGGGGCGCACCTCGAATAATTGGGCAGGGGGGCGCACGAGGGCTCCGCGAAAGGGTTGTATTGTAATATATTAAGTGTCTGTTGGTATCGCATTTCTGAAATTCAATTATAATTTGCTCGATGTACCACTGGGAGGGATTCTAGGGGGGCGGCGATGTGTGATTATTTCGCGTAACATATTCGCATTGTAATAGACAATAATAATGAGGAGTAAATGCAAAACAGTGCATCATGCATGTTGGATATTTGCTATGATGTGACACCGTAATAATATATCAGATATTATTTGAAAAAATGTTAGAAAACCTATCAATTATAATGGTAACTTTAAGCAATAATATTCTCAAGTTTTATCAACTGAATGACCTGTGAAGCTCCCAGAGCATTTTTTCATGAAATCATTCATAACTCAAAATTTTTTTAGAAAACCTACCAATTTTAGTATTTGCTATTATAATATATACTTTCAGTAATATTATTCTTAAATTTCATTATTCTTGTACAAACGATACGCCCTCTAGAGAGAAAAATATTAAGATGTATTTAGACGTTGAATTAAGGTTCACCCCACACTTCTAAAATCTTGAAAAAATCAAAACTTTGTTAAACTAGTGGGGTGCATGGCGTCGTGCCTTAAGGCAAATTGCTGGAACTTTCCATAAAGTGATTAAAATTCTAGGTACGGAACCCAAAAAAATTTACACAAAATGTGTACACATGATTAAAATCTCTATAAAATATCTGATAATTTGATGTACATATGTCAATAAACATCTTTGACCGCCAAATGACATTTTTTTAACTTATTTTTATTGAGAGTGCATAACCGCTGGATTTGCCTTCCCAAAAATTTAAACAGTTCTTTATCTTGTCAATATAAGTAAAATGTTTTTTGAATTATTAAAATCGGACGCTCCGTTCTCTTGAAAACTGAATTACCGTTTTGCCACTTTTTTTTCGGAACGGCTAGACCAGCCTTCGTCATAAACTTATCAGCACGTCTCCTTATCAATACCAATTGAATGTTTTTTGAATTATTCAAATCGGTTGATCGGTGTTCCCGAAATCGTTGACGAAAATTTGTATCCGCACTCACACACACGTACATCCATTTTTTCAAAGGTATACCAAAATGTTCAGAAACCTTTGAAATATAAAGATATATAAAAATTTGCATTTTTTGCGATTTTTATAACTTATCCCACGGGAAGTTAAAAATACCGGGATTTTTTATTTGTAATTATAACAGGCATCTTGAAAAATAACATTTGCGAATTACAGTGAAATATTACAAATATTGCGTCCTGTAGAGCTCATCAAAAATGAAATTCAATTAGTGTGTTAGACTTCACGTAGAACACATTTTTATAAAATCTATTATAACTTAAAATTTAGCTAGAACACCCATTAATTTTTTTTAATATATGTCATGAAGAAGAACTTTGAAGTATAATATACTAAAATTCTTAGACCTTAAAATAAATGGAGCTCATTGAATTCACTTGACATGAATAAGTTTATATCTCTATAAATCTCTTATAATTCTAAGTTTTGTTACAAAACCTATCAATTTCAGGATTTGCTGTTTTAGTAGATACTTTAATACTTGACATATACAAATTACAAAAATGTATTTATCATTAAATACAAATGTACAAAATTCTACTATCTAAAATGCATGTTATTTTCAATCTCGTGTCACCATCAGCGCCCTATCTATTACCCTAAAATCATAATACTCGATTATTTTATACCACACTAATTGAATTTCAATAATTTTGCGCCTAGTGAGTCCAAAATAACGTTTTAGTATCCAATCAGATGAATAAAATAATTTTAATCAGATGTGGTTAAATAATAAACCCGGAATTATGGAATAAATAAATCCAATTGCGATTCCGACCAATAACTATTGTGATAGACAGTGATAGACACCAGTCGTGCATTTATTTACTATATCTCTTGTAACTTCTGAATCTTTCGATTGATATGATTAATGAGATAGAAAAATTAGTTGAAAATTAAATGATCTAAAATATTGTCTAACATCGTGAAGTCCTGTAGCATCTTGTTACAATGCACATGTGAATTTATCTATTCAATCTTTTGTTAAACCATTCTCACTTATAGATTTGAATGATGTATGGGATAAACCTGTTCAAATATATTTTTGCACAACGTTTCCCCTTAAAATACCCTAGAGCAAATACTACAAATACTTACAATTTAGTAAATTAGTATATATACATGTAGTTTCTACTAAACTAGTATTAGCACAACACGTGTTAGTAACAAATCTACCGCCAAGTACAATTTTTTATTACCAAAGCACCACATATAGTACACAAAACCCTTCGACACCTTTTTTGTACTTACAATCTCTCTAAATTTCTTAGACCGGCAAAAGTTTCTTCGTGAATCATGTGAATCAAATTGCTATGGAGGTATCTAATAGGAGAAAAAATTAAAACAAATACTAAGAGATTTAGTAGAAATAGTAATAGTAGCCACTAGGCTACATAGCAGTACAGGAAATAAACTTTTCTTGAAATTAAATAAAAATTAAAAATTCTTAAAGCTTCAAAAAAGTCTTGCAGCTTCAAGTAAATCCATACGAATAAATGTGAAAGTTTTAGAATCTCTGGATGTATAAAATCTTAATTAATAAATATAAAATTTGAAATTAGTTCTAATTTTAATATTTCTATTTACTTTCTACTTACAGTTGTTCCAATTTTGGCATTCCGTTGAAGGCACCAGGTTCCACCATGTGGATCCTATTTTTGTACAAGTACAGGAACTTCAAATTGGCCAGCCCTTGAAATGCACCAGCACGCAGGGTCGATAGTTTATTATTGTTCAACATTAGGGTTCCTAATCTCGAGAGGTGCGAGAAGGTTCCTGGACGGATTTCGCGGATATTGTTGAATCTCAGGTCTCTGAAAGAGAAAGAAAAGAAAAAATTAAATAGAAGAATTTCATCATTTGTTGACATATATAATTGACATATTGAAAAATATATCATTCTTTGAAAATATCAATCATCTGATGATTAAATCCTGTTCCATAAAATGTTTTAGTACTCAAAATATTGTCAGAAAATCTTTCAAATTAAGTATTTGTTTCCCCAAAAGATACTTTAGGAAACCATATATCCCGCTTACCAAAGTTGTGGTACAAACGGTATGTCCTATAATTCTCTAATGAATCACCGAGAATACCACTGAGAATTTCCAACTTTACTATACTATCAATTTAAATTCGAATGATTAATATATCAAATTCTGCATTCGCGTAAATGATGATCGTTAGTGCTAAAGCTGATTTCTAAGTTGAAACTTGGAATCCAAAACTGGAATTTAGGCGGAATCGCTTCAAACTAGATCAACCGAGATGTAAGTATTAAGTAATATGGCTAAATTCGTCTAAAGTAATAGAGAAGCTGGTGCAAACCAGACAAAAGTTGTAGATAATTTTATAAACTATTTTATATTACATTATAAAATATGTGTTCATATATTATGATGCTAATAAGTTAGAATAGTTGGTTCAAATATTCAAGAGTTCTTTCACTTTCTTAAAAAATTTGACTTATAATCAAGTTTCGCAAGTATGAAATTTAACCATGTTGTAAAAAAGTTATGGAGGATTTTAATATTTATATAGAGATTTGTAAATCATTTTATTACCTTTTAATTGGTACCTTATGCATGCACAGATATGAACGAAATTTTAAAGAACCAAGTTAAATATGACTAGTTGGTAAATTTTGCTTTGGGGCAAGTTACATGAACTTCCCGATATGTGTAAATAAACGACTTAATCAATAAAAAATAAATTAATTTATGAGTGATTAAAAGTATTCCGAGAGGATTTATTACACATAATTGAAAACTCATACTTGAACGTTCAATCAATAATTTTTATAATTGAACCAGTTTCCATAAGACTTTATCGGTTTAGTATGTTCATTAAGACCAAGTACTCTATCTTTATACCAAATCATCTAATTTTAATTTTAACAAACGTCAAAAAAAACTACTCATTTTCTTCATTTAAACTACTTGTCGTAAGGCCGTAATATTTCAGTAAGTTCTATAAGACCACGATATATATCGCCAAAAAAATTTCCATAAAAATCGGCTTAATTTTTTTTGTTTAAACAGTTAATTACAAGAAAATGGCTCGGTAGATTTTCACCAAAAACTAATCAGTATCATGCCCAACTAATATCTTTCGAACAGTTTTTGATTTTTTAAAATCGATACGGTAGTATGAGCTTAAATGTGGACGAAAAGTTTAACACTTTTTTCCAAATAACAAAGAAACGGCTTGGCAGATCGTCGCACAAAACTGACAAACGATAGTCCTCATCAAGATACATCAAATGGCTTTTAAATTTCTGAAATCGGTTCAGGCGTTTTTGAGAAACGTCGATGGAAGGTCTAATTTTGACAAATGCCAAAAAAATATACCAATTTTTGCAAACTTCGACGAATTTTTGAAGTTAAACGAGTTGTCGTAGGCCCGTAATATTTTAGTATAATCTAGAAGATTATGGTATCTACCGTCAAAAAAATATAATCAATAAATAATTAATTTTTTTATGGGAATATAAAACGTTTGAAACAAACTGTAGCTAACTATAGAAAAATGTATATGCAGCCAGGAGCTGGGTCCAAAAAGAGGAAGCAACAACCTCAAAATCCTTTAAAGTATTCATCTCACGTTGAAATCTCCTGCTTGCTCCTCCCCGGAACGTTTTCCCATATAAATTCACACGAAGATTATAATTCCGGTTCCTGCTGCAGCAGCACAATCAGTAGAAACTTCCACCTCCACGTCGTCCACGTTATTACCACGTAACTTTATATACGTTCATTATTAATCTTTAAAGGTATTAGATTAAATTACCTCCAACACCATTTTATAATGTAGACAGAGGGCTGGTGGAAATAGTTACATGATTTTTTCCCCTTTTTTAATATAGATTTAATATGTATCATTTTTTTCGAATGTTTCGATATTTAGAAACTACATAAAATTATTCACAGCTTTCATTAATGACTATTCTCTGATATTGTTGATATTGAAAAAAACTAAGAGCCCCAAAAGTTATGAGACTATTTTACTCGATTAATAATGCTTACTTGTTTTTTCGAAATCTCGTTATTGGTTATTGTTTTAATGAATTTTATCTAGTGTTTACTAGTAAAAACATATTTCAAAAAATATGTAGTAAAAGTAAAAATTTTTGAACAGTAAATTTTACATAGTTTTACCAAGTCTTGGCAAATAAATTTTGAAAAGTTTTATTCAAAAATCAGTTATAACAAAAATAATAAAAAATTATATCTCCTTAAATCAGCAAGGCTACTGAAGATTCATTAAATTATTATCTATACATGTGCATCCAATTTTTTCTTCTAAACTAAATATTTTATGAACTCCGAAAAATCTTTATCCAAAACCTCAAACTTTCAGCGATAACAATAAAGTATATTTAACTTTCAGAAAAGTTTTCCGAACTTCTCCATGGAAAGTTTCGATAATAAAAATTAATGGACTGTTGAAGTTTTTATTAAATTCTTATACGACACCAGTAGAACTAATAATATCAAATGTTCTTGAAAGAACTTTTAAAGAATCAGAAGAACGAAGAAGTGTTGACAATTTGCCTGAGAAAAAATTAAAGTTGAATGGGTTTTACAGAACTTTATAAATTTAATAATTTATTAATAAACGTTATTTGTAAATTGTTTATAATTATAAATTACATGACATATATAATTTATATATTTATAAAAAAGTAAATAAACCGTCTAAATTTAAGAAGCTTAATAATTTTTCTTTATTGTTATGACACAAACACTGAACACTTTTTTTAAAGCTTAATTATTGTGAACGAGATATGTTGCAGTTAGATTTAATTTTTTTAAGCTAATTTAAAGTTTAATGATTTTTTCATAGTAATAATTTTATGAGTTTTTTAAAGATAGAATAAAACATTTATAAAACATAGAATATTAGCAATAATTTAGTTAGAAAGAAGTATCTACTTTTATCTAAGTTTGATTATATTTTCCTTTATAGTTTTTATCTTTCTAATGATATAATTCAAAATACAATAAAGTGACCAAATATTAGTAATAAATTTTTTCAAGCCACATTCTTATTATTTCCTTCATTATAATTTTTTTCAGACATCACCAACAGATATATAAATATTTTGAAATAATTTCATGAACTTTTTAACAACATAATATAATATATACAGATTGAAATAAACTTGTAATAATGTAATAAACAATGCAAAATATAAAAATATAAAAATGTAACAAACGCTCCGAATTTTTTTAACCAAATATTAGTAAAAAGTAAGATATACATTTTTCTAAATTTAATAATATCATAATAACTATTTTCTCAACTCTATGAATTAATATTAATTCGTAGACAATTTTATCCAATCTCTAATGATATAATAAAATACCTTAGTATTGATTATAATAAAATGCATAAAGCAAAAACGTGTAAGCTAACAAAAAGCTCAGTGACAATTTAGAGGTAACTTTTCCTAAGATCAATGATTTATTTCATCATAACTATGTTATAAAAGCTTTGAATCATAATATACAGATTTGTAGACACTTGTTTTGCATGCCTAATAAATTGATTTTGATTAATGATGGCACTCTTGTGACTTATTTTGGATATGCCATAGTGTTATGTATATATATACACATATATATATCAATATTAATAATTATATTCCTGATCCCATGTCATCAATCAATTATCATAATGTATTCGTTTGATAACATTGTACAATTAACATCAATTTATTTTAATTGAAGTTTAAAGATAAAACAAACTATCAGTCATTCAATTGTAAGAAATAATTGTAAAACTAGCTGTAAGTGGAATTCTGTCTTAAGGCAATTAAGGCATCGTGCCTTAAGGCAAATTGCTGGAACTTCCCGTACCAAAATTTTTTTTTTAAAAACGATTAAGATTTTTGAAAAAAATTTACTTTGAAAAAATAAGATTTTTGAGAAACTATATATTGGACAAAAAATTACTTTTTTTTGAAAAAAAAAAATTTTTTTTATTTTTTTTTTAAAAAAAAAATTTTTTATTTTATTTTGACATATTTTGGAAGATCTAAACTTTTTTTCAGAGCAATCGTACTGCTTTAACTGCATAAAGACGAAATATCAAAGCCCGTAAGCGCCGCGTCGCCGTCTAACGCGTAAACATTGGTACGGAACCCATAGAAATGTAAAAAAAATTTATACTTATTGTTAAAATCTCTATAAAATATTTGATAATTTGATGTGCATATGTCTAATGATCATTTTTGACCGCCAAATGGCATTTTTTTTTACTTTTTTCATCAGATCTCCGAAACCGTTAGACCTGCCTTCATGAAAATTTGATCAATTCTTTATCTTGTCAATACAAGTAAAATGTTTTTTAAAATATTCAAATCGGACGCTCCGTTCTCTTAAAAACTGAGTTACCGTTTTCGGCACTTTTTGCCCCGTATCTTTGGAACGGCTAGACCTGCTTTCGCCAAAAACTAATCAGCACGTCTCCTTATTAATACGAATCGAATGTTTTTTGAATTATTCAAATCGGTTGATCCGTGTTCCCGAAATCGTCGACGAAAATTTGTATCCGCACATACATACATACATACATACATACATACATACATACATACATACATACACACACACACACACACACACACACACATACATCCATTTTTTCTAAGGTATGCCAAAATGTTCAGAAACCTCTGAAACGTAAAGATATATAAACATTTTCATTTTCGATTTTTTTGCGATTACTATAACTTGCCCTACGGGAAGTTAAAAATTAATTTAGTCTCTTTCTATAATATTAGAGTAGTAGAAAGAGACTTAAAAGCAAA